GACAGTTCCATCCATGTACATATAGAGGCCGGTTAAAAACTTCCCAAAAGTCGTTGGGGGAAGTCCGGTATCTTTGAAGGCTTTTTGAATACCTATTGTACCGCGCAACGAACGGAGACTCGGGCGTCATATAACAGAAAGACATCCATACGAAATTGTAGTACTGACTATCAACCCCTATTGGTGATAATGATTGCGTATGATGCGACTATCAATAATCACAGCTTGACGACCGTAGCTCGCTGGGGGAAGATAAAGGCGAATCGGATATAAGATTCGCAGATGGCGACATAGTTCAATTACAAGTGACTGTACCAAGGATTATTGCAGGGTGACTACTGATACTTGCAAGCCAGCCCCTACCACATGGTGCCATTTGTGGGTCGACGTAGGTTAAGCCTGGCAATTCCGCCGACTGTGAGCTATAAGAAGGACTCATACATTCTATCATCTTCTATTCACATAACAAGCCGCTGCTTGAACTGAGTTAGTCGCGATAGGTCCTCTAAATATGCGCATCGTTAAGGTGTTGACACTCCTGGAATATGCTCCCTGTGGATACTACCTAACAGGATCATCAAGCAAAGTCCCGTCATGGCCATGCCGGTTATCTTCTGATAATACATTGAATACCGTGATGGGTATGACCGATTTCTAGAACTATTCGAAGTGCCCGAATGATATTACTCATGGTATGGGTGACAGTGTTGCTTGAAAAAGCCTAGTTAAGGTGGCATTTCGTTGGGCGAGCAAATTTGCTCTTCATGAAAGTGCGGTTGAAATTCATATGCCACCGGGAATATCAACGAGTCAGCCTGCGAGTTCTCGGACGTCGATGGCTCCCACGAGTGACACGCCCGGTATTATGATAGTGATGATTGCTTCGACAAACGAGCACAGTTTTGCTACGACGTGATACACTCTCATGATTGTTTTTCGTCTTCCCGATTCATTGTGTAGAATGAGGTCTAGCAGCTCGAAAGACGGAATCTCATGGCGCACCTCCCTGCGCGGGCAAAAAAGTGGAAATGATTTCTTGCCAATGCCAGACTTATATTAGGTGAGGCTATGTCTCAGACGGTCCACACAAAGAACTGCGTCTGCCTGTCTTTGCTTCGTTATTATAGGCTTACATCCTGCCATGGCTAACTATGTCTTTGTTGCCATCAAATACGGTCCTCTCTACCGTGAGCATTGGATTGCCGGACAATGGAAATCCCTGCCCCCATACTGTGAACCTGGATTTGCGTATGACGACACACACAGAGCTGCAGCTACTCCAAGACGGTACGGATTTGACTACCAGGCAATCTAGCGTCAAAAATGTGACAGAGCTTCTGCTATGTGGATCCCACCGCCGCGCCTGGTTCGCTCGACGAGGCACAGGCTTGTATAAGGACCGCCACTGCTTACAACGATGTCCACTAATGAAATTTCCAGACATTTTTCACCACTGATTCAAAAAGAAAGCCAATCTATGGTTCAGGAAGCGCCCTCTCGCCCTCTTCCTCGGCTATTTGGAGAAATCATTGAAGGCCCAATACTGCAACGAACAGAGTTATCTTCAACCTTGGATTAATTTGTGGCATAGGAGCAATAACCTATGCTAAATTTTAATCATGTATTCTCGCTCCTGGCTTCTTTGTATTCAAGAATATGTCATCTGCTATGCCGCGCATACCCTACCCACATCTTCGTATACAATGACGGAAAGCTCAATTGTAGCATGTAGTCCACTTGCCCAACACAATCGTGATTGGTCTTTTCCAAGAGCCTCCTCGTCGCCTCAAGCAGAAGGAATTGGCGACGTCGATCTTAAGGCATCCTGTTACATCCCATGCGCGCAGCCAGATTGCCTTGGAGACGGCGGGTGCGTGCCTTCCATCCGCTGAAAAGCCGGTTGATCCGCATTTGACACTGCTCGATCTCCATTCCACACTGCGGATCGCCCAGCCATAAGACGACGATGATCCTGTAGCTGGCGGTGCACGGCTGCGTGACGGATATCTTATTTAAATTATATATCTACCTTCTCCTGATCCAACCGCGCTCTGCTTTGCACAGAGTCTGGGTAGAGTACCTCGTTGGTGCGAGATCTTTCACCCAGCTACCAGTCGGGCACTCTTTGAGGGCCTATTGTGAACTGCCCTCACCCAGTTGAAAGGACGCATTCTCTGACTGAACATTATACTTTGCCGAGTCACTCGAGATGAGGTGAGTTTTGGAGGTTGAGTATTGCTTCCATGGAAAACCCGCGCATCAATCTTGTTGATATAACCAAGGTCAATATTTGACAGTGACTCTGAGCGCGGGGGCTTCTAACAAGAGCTTTCTTCAAATTCTCGGCTATCTAGCTGAGCTAATTTAATTTCGGTACTGTAGCAGGTCAAGGCACAGAATCACGGTCGTTTATGACTGGGCTTGTGTCTTGTGGTCAGTAGTTTATCAATCATCAATATTCAACGCAACATTCTCTTATCTGACCGAGCCAGCTATGTATGTGGATGTGATACTTCAAATGTTATTAGACTTATTCTGGAAATGGTCCAAAGTGGATTTCTTATGATGGTTGCACTTCTATTGCGTGGAATGGACCCTGGCCTTCAACTATCGGAGCAGGGGGTGCGCCTTCTCTGCCGACCGGGGCGTCGAGCCCTACTCCGGGTTCTTTTTATGGCGGACCAGCCTGTCGTACTCATCAATTGTTCTCTTGGCGCTGACGCTGTCAACTACCTACCCTGTAAGGGTTTGGACGAGTTCGTCAAGTAACGAGGTAGTCCCGATATTGCATTGATGCTCACGAGCTTTTCTGGAGGCGATCGATATCACCCGCATTGGAAAACAAGGCGGATATGCAGCGCTGCAGTCGGGTTTCTCCCTACAACATGCCTGCAGAGTAGTTGGATGATCCGCCCACGGTACTCTGCTTCTCAACCACGAGCACTTCAGCTCCAGATTGTGCTGCAAAGGCGGCACGGGCCATCCCGGACATTCCTCCGCCGCATACTAGCACGTCGACGTTGATGGACTGTATTGTGAGTAGAAATTTTAGATTGCTTCGAATATAGACGACCTGCGAGAGTATCCTTCGAACGTCCGATTACGATAATAAATTATAAAACTCTCTTGGTACGATCATTTGGGGACAACCCGGCGTCCGGTGCATACATTTAATGGCCGAGTGGGCCAGCCACGACACCGCGGTGGGGAAGCTTCCCTTACGGCTTCATGCACTTCAATTCGTAATAGCTTTGTTATGTGATGTCCAGGCAGTCCCAGTACTCGCATGGTCTCTTATTGCTCCGCTGAGCAGCTCACTATATGTAAGCTGGAGGGAGACCGTTGTAGTCGTGCCTCAGGCAACGAATCCGGGATCCACAGAACGATACGATTCCCCGCATTCTTGACCGGACCTCAGAGTGAAAGTTACTGTCCCGACACCTCATCAACGAATATGTCATCTCCAGGGTATAGAGACCAGAACTCACAGGTGAGACCCCGTCCTGGGGCAGCACCCGCCTGCGAGGCCTGCCGGAAGCTCAAGGTACGCCGCCCCCGTCCTCTGACAGGGAAAGGTCGCTGATAACGTCACAGATGAAATGCACACGAGCTGCACCGCAGAACAGCGGGAATCCACTGTCTGATCCATGCGCCCGGTGTAAAAGAACTAACCGGGCCTGTAAAATCCCCGAATCACGACCGCTGGGCAGGAGGCGAGGGGCGTTGGGCCGGTATCGCGGGCTGGAGAAGGCGTACCGGAAGCTACAGCAGGAGGCAAAGAAGGCGAACCTTTCGCGTAGACCTGACGAAGCTTTTGATCCTCCTGCCCTGCAGACTGGTGGAGGGTTGGATTCTCAATCCTTTTTGATGGATGAGTCGTCCAGCCATTCTCGACTCCCTGAGACAAGTTACGCCCGGGCGGCCCCTGGGACCCTTTTTCTGGGGCCTGAAGTGACAACACCGGGGACGGAGATTCAGGCCGAGAACCAGGAAAACATAGAAGGTCAAACAGAACCGGTTCAGGAACCGATGAGTAACCCGCTTGCGCTGTTGACGTACGCATCTGATGCCGCACAAGCATCGGAGACAAGCCCAACGTCACTAAATACTGTAACCAGCCCAACATCCAGGAGGCAAAACAGTCGCGAAATGGGAGAGAGTGAAGGACACCGTTTACTTCACCGACCTGGGTATGTCTCTCTGGGGCTGCAGTTGGATCGAGCGAGCCTCGTGCAGGGCCTGGATGCCTTGCTGGATCGCGTTGACGCTGGCCACCAGTCCCTCGACTACTTTAAGCAGACAGGTGTACGGCAACGCGATGTCGGTCCGGATCTTGATCCCGTAGAATTGAGGTTGGTTACGATGGAGGATGCAAACTACTTATTCCCCATGTACGTGTTCGACATCTTCTCCTGAGGGAGCTAACCCAATTAGATATTTTGCGCGACTACATCCAATCAACGGGATACTAGATCCCATGCTTCATACGCCGGAATTTGTGCGCGCTCGATCCTCGTTGCTCTTCACTTGGATACTTGCTCTCACGACCCAGTTTGAGCACGCATCTGCAGCTGTGGCAGAGCGTCTGCGACTACACGGCGAAAAGTTGTCGCGATACGACCATACATGCGGGTACAAGTCAGTCGAAATCGTCCAAGGTTATTATATTTCGCTCCTCTCTCCTACCCCGGCTAAAACGGTGGCTGGGGAGCGGTCGTGGCTATATACTATGTATGCTCTCGGTGTGGCGACGGACTTGGGAATTAACCAGGAGGCTGGACCGACTGCGCATTCTACGTCCAGACCGAGGCCCCGGTGCTCGGAAAATTGCAGCCCTTGGTTAAAATTCCGAAGAAATGCGTAACCTCGGGATATCAACTGGAATACGAAATAATCACTACTATTATATGGGCTGGTATGACTGGGTCTGGGGTGAGATATGATCCTTGAACATCCTTTGCCGGGCTCTTGCCTTGACTCTTTAGTTATCATACTGCACCATGAGCGAGCGACTGCGTCAAATCCATCAACAACTGCAGCCTAGCGACCCCGCCGCCGACCCCAGTCGCCTAGATGGCCAGGTAGTGATTATCACGGGGGGTGCTCAAGGTACGCATTCTTTGCAATTTGAAATTGTTACATCGATACGCTAGTAATACCCTACTGGCAAATGAATCGGAAGGGCGACCGCGGTATTGTTTGCCCGAAAAGGAGCCAAGATCGCCGTCAATGATTTGGATATAAATAAAGCGGAGGATGTGGTAAGGGAAATCCGCGGATTTCAGGGCGATGCGGAAAGCTTTCCAGGCAACGTCCTTGACGAGAAATTTCCGCCGCAGTTGGTCAACACCGTACTGCAGAGATGGGGCAAGGTCAACTGCCTCATTAACAATGCCGGTATGATCCTTGTTGTCAAGCAGTAAGGGCAGGAGTGGATACTGACCGGTCCAAGGTTTCTGCCACGATAGTGCAATCCACAAGATGGACGAAGACAAGTTCGATATTATCATGAAAATCTACAACTACGTGCCGTTCCGGATGACACGAGCGCTATCTGGCCATTGGATGGATTCGGCTCATAAAGACATGCCAAAGACCGTGATCAACGTGTCGTCTACGTCTGGCCTGCATGGATCGATGGGACAGATCAACTACGCAACGGTCAAAGCTGGGGTCGTCGGGCTAACGAAGACCATAGCGTCGGAATGGGCCCGGTAGGTGCAGCAGTTATGGATATTTTTCTCGCTAGTGTATAAACTGACTCTTGTGTGCCTCTAGATATAATATTAGGGCTAATGCAGTGGCCTACGGTTGGATTGATACGCGAATTACTTGCCCGCCCACCGAGTCGAAGCCGATGATGCTGGGAGGGCAGTCCATTCGTCATGGGATCCCGGAAAGTGCGAAGAAATGGCGAGATGTGTCTGATATTCCGCTCGGTCGACCTGGGTCTGCGGACGAAGCTGCGCGGGTGATGCTTTTTCTGGCCAGTCCGCTGTCTTCGTACGTAACTGGCACTTGCATCGAGTGCACGGGAGGACGCTTTATGTAGATTATCAAAATTGCAAGAAGGGATATGTCATGCCAATTTGGAGTAAATTCAACGAGTAAGGAGGCTGGTTCTCCCCGCACCGGTGCATTTTCTAGTATTTTATAGACCGGGCTCCCCGCACTGTGGCGCCGGAGCACATCGCCTGGACTACCTCAGCTACACGAAGCCAGTATCTACTGACACTTGTCAAGTCTTTCGCCATGGACCAGTCTATCGACAGAAGCCGTGTCTATTACCCTTCAGAACCGGCCGGTTCTCCGCGCGGCTTGGTCGACTGACATCTCGCCTCACCTTCGCGGACAACAGACGGGAAGCGGCTGAAATACATCGGACAAGCATGGTATTTTTGCTGAACATAGTTAACATAGTGGTGCATATCCTGTTCATGTAATGCTAACAACAGTCGCAGCCTGGATTGCCAGCGCCGCAAGGTGAAGGTGCGATTTCCTGCCCGTTCCACCTTGATGACAGGCCTGTTCTCACAGCATACAGTGCTCCGGAGAAAGAATCTGTCGCAATTGCCGTGCTAGGGGACAGGACTGTATTTACATACCTCAGTGTCGACGGGGACGGAAACAGGGGACGAAATGCGGCCCTGCAACCCGGAGGTACGCCCCCTGGCCAATTCCGCGACTTGGCTTGTTCCTAGACGATAACGAGTAACCTGCGAAGCGGCAAGAAGCAAGAGTCAATAGAAGAAAATGCACGACGACAATCGAGCAGCCCACCCTGCAATGACATTACCTTTCTTTTCCGGTTTGTTCTTTTCCCCCGAGACCCGTGTTACGTGCCTGACTTGCGAGCTGACAATAGCAGCAAACCCCCCTTGCCCAGTACCGCACACAGCTGCCAGTCATCCCCAGACTGGGATGATGGGACCGACGCATACGATGTCGAGGAAGCCCGTCCCAGAAGTGTTTCAATCTCGTCTCAGCTTTTGAGTATCCGCGAGCTGGTGCATCCGAAAAACAGGGGACAATTAAGCCCTACCTTCATACGAAGCGCTCTCCAGGACCGTACATTTGCGGTCGAACTTCCTCGTCCAACAAGATTAAATGTACTACTAGATGTTTACTTTCGCGATCTGGGTTCTTTCTTTCCATTTACTGAACGTGACGGGACCCAGGCACGGATCCAGGCAACGCTGCGCCGCCTGGGACACGCAGATAACCAGCATATCATTGACGTAAGGTCCGCGGACTGTTCCGCCGTTGCCCTACTCTGCAACATGCTTGCGGTTGCGGAATGTTTCTGTATACCGGGGTCTTCCTCTAATGAAATTCGCCCTGGGTGGTCCCTGTTCCTTCGGGGCGCAAGCTAATCCAGCACTGCTCGTCGATGAAGCACATCGATATCCACATCATTCAGTATCACGCCCTTAGTTCTGAGTATCTTATGCAATCTGAACTACTCCACGATGCGTCGCAGGCTGTCTCCACCGCAACTCAGCTCGCGATGCGGGCCCGGCTCAATGAAGAGGGAGCCTGGGAGGTTTCGGACGAACAGGACGTGCGCAACCGAAAGGAGTTATGGTGGATGATATATTTTCTCGATCGCAAAATATCCCAACGAACAGGCAGCCCGTATCTCATTCACGACACCGAGGTCGCGGTGTCGGATTTTTCGCTGTCCTCGACTGCCGGAACCGATCGATATATGCAGGCGCTGGTAGACTTGGGCAAACTATGGTCTCTAATTTGGGATACCTTCTTTGCTGCTGCCGCTTCAAAGCCTATGGACTGGAAGGAAATTGAGGTTATGGACACCCGCATTTTGGTGGTCCAGCGAGATCTTCCGAGCGTACTGGCCTGGGAAACAGATCTCCTGGATCAAGTGTACTTGGCTGAACGAGAGCCAGAGCCACTTGTCAGTCGCCGGCTGGCAATCCTTCATTGTACTCTTCCCTTCCTCAGTCCACAGTGAAATAAGCTGACGGAAAATTCCAGAGACTGAACCTCTTACGCCTGATCATTCGACAGAACCCGATCCAGACGCGTCAGGGTACCAAATGCCACAGTCTTTGTGTCTCGCTTGCCGCTCAGACGGTGGATGCCATTGCTGCCTTCACTGAGAGATGTCCTAGTATTATCCCCTGTGGCTTTTTCTTTAGTACCGCGTTGCTGGAATGTATCTATCACCTTATCCTAGCCACGCGGGCGACACCGAGCGAGGAGCAACGCAGAACCAGCATCAGGCCGTTCCAGCTCGCCTACCAACTTCTCGAGTAATTCTCGCAGGTCCTTGACACAGCGAAGCGAGCACTTCGAGCCCTGAACTCAGTGGTCTCCTTAGCGCCGGTATCAGACTCTCTTCCTACCGTTGACAGCGCAAATTTGGAACCAAAACCAGACAACGATCACACGAAAAACCTAAGCCTGCAGACTACCGCATCCATAGACACCTTTGATCCTCTGTCTTGGCAAATTGATGACATTCCTTTGGACGTGGTCGCCTTGGTCTCTTCAATGGGGAACCAAGGTGCTGATGATGCAGTCGCAAGTAGTCTATCTGAAAGATTCTTGGATCCTGGACTGTGTATTTGGAATACCGATGGCGGCGTTGATTCTAGTGCTAGCAACGTATGATCTATTGTCTATACTACAATTAACTAGCTGGACTATCATACTTCCTACTTGAACCCTTAGGGAACACGGAAAAAATTTGAAAGGTCAGGATATGTCCCACGTTAGGAAGTGTTGGTACCACTGCTGAGCGAGTTCAGTTGAAATGCCATTGTCTCTGCCACGTGTTCCTGGGCGCCACAATGAGGAACCGTTTGTGAACACGTCAGGTCCCTGGCCTGGGGAACGACCAACGTCGATTTGTTCTTCGATGGTCGAAACTGCTCTAGGGGCCGACATTGTTGATCTTAGGAATCGGAGTAGTCGTTACAATATACTGCAGTCCGACTGCGCTAATTTCTAAATATAATTACATGGCAGCTGCATTGTCCATTCACTAACAGGATCCGCCGAATGATAATTCCGATACAGCTCATAGTCTGAGCGGGCCTTGTGGGCTGAGTCGTTCGCCCGGTCGATTTAAATAGAGTCCGGCATGTCAACACCCCGCATCGATACGGAATTTAAAGCTCATCGCACGGCGGCTACATTTCCGTCATTTTTCCGATATGAGGACGGGATAACCGAGCATGGCCTACGCTATATTACGCTTAGTCATATACGGGGGTTGGTAATAGTCCCATCCTCTATATATACGGTTCTTACTGTAATCAGAAATCCACGGCTGTTTGAATACGTTCCCCATACTACCTTCGACAGATTATACAAAGGTCGTTACTATTTACAAACCCCAGTACTAAGCATGGCTCCCATAATATCAGATATGACGGTACACTTCCGCCATGACCGGTCCATTGCCCAGATGATGCTGGAAAACCCTTCCAACGTCGATGCTAACAAGGCCATCAGTGAGGATATTTTAACCGGTAAAACATTAACCTATGGCAGTTTGCGCGAGGATGCATTCAAGGCTGCATGGGCGTTGCGGCATCGCCTAGGGCTCAAGACAGGGGACACCGTCACGATTATAGCGAGGAGCTGCGTATGTTAGGACTCGGCAATTTTCTTTCCGCTGTTTTCTGATAGGAAACATGCAGGTGGACTATATTATTGCAACGCATGCTATTTGGGCGGCGGGTGGGATTGTCAGGTTAGTGTTCTATTTGGCGTATCGGCGTTGTGAGCACTACTAACCATGTCCAGTACAATTAACCACTCATCATCCGCCAAAGAGATTACCCATGCTATTGAGATCATTAGACCGCAGTTCTTCATTGTGGATGGTGACTATGAGAAGAAGTTGCACGAGGCGCTGGGTTCGGAACACTATGATAGTATGACAATAATGACAATGGTGTCCAGATTCGCCGGCCACCTTCTCGTAAGATTATTGTCCCACCTTCCAAACCATCGTAAACCGTTGACCATTCTAGTTTCCCAACGACCTGATATCGGACTCAAAGCGAGTGGAGCCTGAAGCGTACGTGCTGGACGGACAGGACGCGCGGACCAGGTGCGCTGCGCTGGTAATGTCGAGTGGCACAACTGGCCTACCCAAGGCGGTTATGCTGTCCCATTACAACTTGACTGGAATCTGTGAGGGGCTGCGTGCTCATAATCCCGATAATTGGAGGGAGTCTATGAGGGAGGTGTTTTTCCCAGTATGCAATACTCTACCCTATCTTGGAAAAGATTTCCAACGTACTACTTGCTTGCCCCTAGCCTTGTAGGTAACACCCCAGAAAGACAGAGAATGCCGAGGCATATTTCTGACTGGTGACTTGAAGTATCACATATCTACGGTTTATACGTATGCGCATTGATGAGTCCGTGGCTGGGGTATTATGTGTGCATGGTGTCCCAATTCCAGCTGGAGATTTACTGCCAAGTCAGTGTCCTCGTTAATATCATATAAACTAGTCACTGACGTTGACTGCTAGCTTATGCATGAGAAACGCGCAACATTGGCGCGACTCGTGCCACCAGTCGCTGTTATGCTGGCGGAGAACCCGATCGTGGATCAGTACCAGTATCCTGACCTTGAATACTTTTCCTGCTCAGCAGCACCATTGAAGGTAATCCTTGACCCTTACATACGCTCTGGCCATATATTATATTGATTCGGTTATAGCCTGCCGTCGCGTCAAAGCTACGGCAGAGATTTCCAACTGTTAGCCTATGTCAAAGTAGATATTTGCCATCCATCTCGTGTATTGTCCTAACTGACTTTGTATTATAGCATATGGCTGTACTGAACTGTCCTCTTGCATTGCACAAAGGGGAGTCAGAGACAAGGACGCTCCTCTCGTTGCCGTAGGCACTCTACTAGCAAACGTCAAGATCCAATTTCTGGACGAACAGGGCAAAGAAGTGCCCCGGGGATAACCAGGAGAGATCGTTGTCTCTACGCCAACCATTATGCTGTTAGTATTTTCCAAACTACATCCTTCATTCATTGCCCCTAACTTGTGTCGCCTACAGCGGGTACAAGGACAACGGGGAAGGAACACGCGAAAGCATGCACGGTCCTGGGTGGTACAAAACCGGTGACATTGGATACCTGAACGACAAGGGATACTTGATAATTGTTGACCGTCTGAAGGACGTGATCAAATACAAGGGGTATTTCAACAACAAGCCAGCCTCCTCACAGATCTTGCGACACTAACTGTCCTCTCAGGTTCCAGATCAGCCCAACTGAGCTCGAGGAGATAATCGGACGACACCCCATGGTGAAAGACTCAGGCGTCACCTCTATCTGGGACGATGTTGAGGGGACCGAGATCCCTCTTGCGTTTGTTGTGCCGAGTAGTCCTATTGCATCTATTGATCGGGAGAGCCTAGCAAAAGAAATCCAGGATCTGGTCGCACGGGAAGTTGCAGGCTACAAGAAATTGAGGGGAGGTGTGCGCTTTATTGATCAACTGCCGCGGAATTTGACTGGGAAGATGCTGCGCCGGCAGTTACGTGATAGGGCTGGATCGAAGGCGCACCTGTAAGCGTAAAAGAATTGGACTATAGATGGTGAGTGCACTGGGGGGAATTGCAGACGATGTAGGAGGTTGATTTGTTCGGTTGATTTCCATTCTGACCCTAGGCAGCATTATAATGAGCCTGAAGCGACGAAATCACATGTCTTTCTTTTTGAATGCTCCAGTAATATAGCCTCATAGCACTTACACTTACAGCACTACGAATACAAGTCCGTTCGCTACGATAATTGACAATTTCACTCCCTGCAGATTACGGATTTGATACGTCCTTGCAGACCTGAAATCGGTTTTAGCGATTATCTTACTCTGAAGGGTCAAGTTTGGGTTTTTTTTTTTGGTAGTCTCTCCCCGTGTTTTCTGTCTTCCTCTGACGCGCTTCGACCTGTCTGCTTTGTCAGACTGCCTAACGTTACGAGCATTTCTCCCGCTTCAACAGTCAGCTTAATAAATGGTTGTTAGACAATACCGAACTACTTAGGCTTAAGACTCACAATTAACCGAGGACATGCTAGGTTATTCAATTTGTCCAGACTATTATTTAAGTTTCTGAGATATATTTCAACAACAACTGATTCGGCCTTTTCCTATAGTATAAGAACAACATTCCCCGAGAGAACATCACCCCCCAGGTTGAATACATCTAACACCGTCACCGCTGCGAGACCATCTTCTCCTGAGCAATTTGGCTCCTCACCTTGTCTATTCACTCTGGTGTGATAGGATCTACTTGTCAGGGTAGAAGGCCTGTTGACTTGGTAAGGAAGTAGCCTCGGGACACTATAGATTTGTATGATAATGACAAAGGTAGCCTATATCCACAGCATAGACCGATCCTTTAGGAATTGGTAGCCCCCGATGATAAGGTTCCTCATGTTATACATAGCGGAAATATATAAGACTGTGCTCAATAATCTGATGAGTTTAATAGCTGCTATAATATATTTTAATAATACTAACCCGCAGACTAATTTATTCGAGTAAAAATGATGCTCTTCTCGCTGGGCTGAACCACCTCGGTCGGCAGCAGGGATAGCTTTATAATTATTGGACAAGAAAAAGATAGCAGAGTATCAATTTTCAATATAGTAATCCAGATTAAAGAAGTATAGATCCAATAGAATACTGATATAAAGTATATCATGACCTGTATACAATGTATTGTATATATATAATAATGAATAGATTTATATTAAATAGAGAATTTACAGTGTTCAGTCACGACTTCATATAAATAAGAGACCTTTTTGGGATTTTTTCATATCTTCTATATTTCTTTTCTCTTTCTGATATTATAGTATCGTGTTTTTTTTTTTGTTTTCCCTTATTTTCTATATTATTTTACTATTTTTTATTATCGCTTGTTATTCTTAAACAGGTATAGTCTAACAAATTTATTGTATGGTTTCTAATATTGGAATATATACCATGCCTTCCAAGATTTTTATATTTAGTATAAAGTGTCTGTAAAGGCGGATGTGCTAGAATAGCTAGACTATCATGGTCGGATTCATCGGGATGACGTATTGAGGTGGTTGTCAAACCCTAGGATCGCTTCCCTATCCCTGTTAGCTTAGCTTCACTGGTATACGTACCGTCGAACTAGATCGAGGAGGTATCAGACTGGTGGCTATCTAAGGGCGACTGGTCTTGGACAATAGAAGAGAAGGCCAGATAGTGCCGCGCAGCTATCCGTAAGTAAGTGCGGACGAGTGTTCTGTAGCTAAGCTTCCAAATGTATGGTTACTTAAAGACAGTGTTATTGAGCACGAAGAACAGAACTATCTAAGTACATGAGAGAGAGTGTCCTTATATATCCTATCCTTCATACACCGTATACCCTTTCATATACCCTATACCGTATGCCGTATACCTGATCATATACCATCCCATTAGGCGGTGGTGGTGGTAGTGGTGTCATTTACCCTGACCCCTCGCTAAGCGATATGCAGGCTACTACAACTATATCTCTACCCTGGTGTCTCTATTGTACATTGTCCCACTTCTTAAGGGCGAACTTTCAGCCTCGCCTAGGGGCCTGTGGTAGCCATTTGCCTTCGGTTCTGTCCTTGCGGATCCCCTGGTCCGCGGCTACGAAACCGTCGAGATGCTTCTGCAGAATCCAAGTAAGAAGGTAGGCGCGATTTCGCGGCAGCGTGTCATACAATCGTCGCGTGCGGATGGCCGGTAACTCGGCATCGATTCGCCGGAGGTGGCCGCCTTGTCGGGATGTCTTCCATTCACGTTCCCATTCTCGGTGAATGTTCTTTCGGATGGCTGCCCTTTCCTGTGAGACCTGGCGGCGAAAGGGATGCATCTTGTCTGAACCAAATGCTCGTTTGGCTAGCTTGTCTGCTGCGTCATTGCCAGGGTTATCACTGTGTCCTGGGATCCACTGGAGGTGGAGGAGAATGCCTCGCGCCTTTAATTCTGAGGCTGCCTGCAGGATGGCGTAGATTATCTGTTGTCCAGAGTTGTTCCGTGGGTTCCTGATTGCCTGTAATGCTGACATGTTATCGGAGAGGATTGTTGTCGTTTCGTGCTCTGGCGTTATCGCGGCGTTGCGCCTCAGGTTGACTGTTTTGAGGACGAGACTAATAGCGTAAAATATGCCGATGAGCTCCGCTGCATGGACCGACCAATTTGTCATCGGGCCTACAGAGAGTTGCCGGGATTCCACTACCTCCTGGTTTTCATTCAACTGCACTGCCGCTGCACCAAGCTGGTTGTTCCGCCCAGATGCATCCGAGTAGACAACTATGCCGGGTGATGCTGCTAGGGCCGTGGCCTCGTCTTTCGCTTTGTCTCGGTCTGGTTCGATGTCGATTTCCACAAAGGCAGGGAGGCTCCACGGGCACCTTGGTTTCGGGTCAATTGTTTCCAGTCCGTCCAGTTGTTCAACGTTCATCGGTTTCATTGACTCGGCGAGGGGGAACCGACACCGGGCCCCCACGTTATCGCGTCACCTCCGGGCCCCTGCCAAGTCGTCGTGCATTGGGTGGCTACGAGGAAGTGTACACAGCTTGACTATGACACTCTGTGCTCTCTGCCTGAGTCGCAGGTGCGTCGGTAGTATGTATGTTTCCACTTCCATCGTTGCCGTTGCGATGGTTCGAAATGCAGACAAGATTCGAATTAAGGCCGATCGTTGTACCGTGTCGAGCCATTTGAGGTGTCTCTTGTCCTTGAGGGGGTTGTGCCAGACCGTTGACGCGTAGTCCATGATGGGTGTCACGCACGCCTGGTAGACTTGTCTCATCTGGCCGGGGCGGAGATGCCGAAGTCCTGCCAACGCAATGTTGGCCTTGGTCGCCCGTTTGACTACCTGCTGTACATGCTCCTTCCATCTTAGCTCGCGGTCCCAAACCACTCCGAGCAGCTTGGCTGTTGCTGAGGGTTTGATAGTTGCGCCTTGCATTGCTAGCTGCCCTCTAGTTTGCTCGTCCTTCTTTCTGGTGAAGTGGATGAGCTCGGTCTTTTCCGCGGCAAAACATGATCCTGTCTGCTGGGCCCACTGCTCTATGCGGGGGATGTCCTCATCCTGGAGCTTCTTGAGGTTCTCTTCTGCACATTTCCCTGCGCGCCACCGAAAGTAATCGTCGATAAACGCGGATGCGCCTCCGTAGAAGTCCACTGGCTGGTTCACCAGGTTGGAGTCAAAGAAAATGAACAGAATTGGTGACAGGGGTGAGCCCTGTGCTAGGCCCGCATTCTCCAGCGCGCATATTGGGGGTTCGAAGTCGTCGAATGCGATGCTCGCTGACCGGCCATGCATGGAACTGGCGACCCAGGTTCGCATTTTGGTTGGGATGCCTTTCGCCTTGAGCTGTAGGTCGAGGGTGTTCCCGTTGACCCCGTTGAATGCCCCTTTAAGGTCGAACGTGACCAGTGTTATCACTTTCGATGAGAGCCACGCTCGGTCGATGGCATTCCTCAGAACAAGGAGAGCCTGTTCGGTGTTGCGACCCGGTCGGCCGCCAAACTGCGTATTTGGTAACAGGCCGTGTGTTTCTGCATAGTACGACAGTCTTTTGGCTATGACGGCTTCGAGGATCTTGTCCAGTGTGTTCGAGAGAAAGATCGGACGGTACACGCCAGGGATGGTATAGTCTGGTTTCCCTGGCTTCCGCAACACAATTATTTTCGCTCGCTTCCACTGTTCTGGATAGTATCCTAGATTAACGGACGCCGTGAAAAGCCGAAGAATCGCTTCCTTCAGCCATTGCCACAGTTGCTTCCATACTAGCATTGGCAGTCCGTCTTCTCCGGGTGCTTTCATGGGTTTGGCAGCCTGGAGGGCCCGGTGGACCTCTTCTTCTGTGAGGGACGCCCACGGTATCTCTTCTCTCTGCTCCGTGTGTGCCTCGTCCTCTGGCTGCGCCATATTAGGAAAGAAAGTCTCTATGAGTAGCTTCGCTTTCTCTGCGTGGTCCGTGATTTCTTCTGTCTCTCGTCTTAACGGTGGTATGCTGGCATGACTCTCGCGCGCGTGTATATGAGATTGCTTTCCAGAGGTGGCCTTCCCCAGCGCTGTCGAGAAACTCCTTCCAATGGGCTGTTTTTGCTTTTTCAATGGTTCTCGTCCACGCCCGGCGCTTCTTACGCATGTCTTCGAATAGGCTTACCGATACCTCATTATGCCGTCCTCTCTCTGCAGAGCTTTCCTGCCATTTCCTCCGCACCCTGTTGACCTCGCATTGCTGTATCTTCAGTTCTGGGTTAAATCACCGTTTGGAGTATGGTGATGGTTTGGCGGTTGGCGTATACGAGTTGACTGCGGAGGACGTGCATGAGATGAGTTGCGCCACGGTGTCGTCGAGCTCGGCCTTCGTTTGGATCGGGGGAAGTCCTGACATCTGAGCTTGGACAGCTTCTCCGATCCGTCTCCAGTCTGCGCGGTCGTACGCTTTTTGAGGATTGCGACCGGTACTGCGGGCCGGCTGGAGGGACCAGTCCGAATAGGTTGCCCGATGGTCCGATCCGTAGTGGTCGTGGTACAGGTGGCACTTCACGAGCTTTCCCGGCGTGTCAGTTACGGTGAGATCAATGGTCGAGTGGCTCCCCGGATGGCTCATAAACCAGTATGTGGGGGTGCCTCGGGGTAGGCACGACTGGAGTCCATGTTTTTGGAAAAAGTTGACAAGTTCTTCGGCTAGTTCGATTGCCCCATGGTGGACGCGGTCCTTGCACCACATTGGGTGGTGGCGGTTGAAGTCCCCTGCCATGATAATCGTGGTTGACTTGGGTGCGGTTTCTGTCACTTGTCGGATGCAGGTTTCGATCTCCCTCAGCATGGGTTGGATTGAGGTTTCTTCGTGGTTTTGGCTGTAGTCCATGTACGGGACATACACGGAGAATATTAGTGTTTGCTGTTGCGTGGTCCACAGCTTGACTGCTGTGACATCGGGGTGGTTGCATTGTATCTGCCGATGTGACGTTGTTGAGATCCTTCTGCTTACGTAGAGTAAACTGCGTTTCTTGGGAATGTCGTCTAGGCAAGTTGATTGGTAGAGATGCCAGGCGCTGTGGTTCACATGTGTGTTGTACGCCGTGAGTGGTGGTTCTGGGATGAGGAGTATGCCTAGGTTTTGGGTGTGGGGGTCGTTTATCAGGGCCTCCATGCCTGATCTTGATTTCCAAATGTTCAGTTGTAGTAGGCGCAAGTTTGGTGCTGTCATTCTGTAAAGGGGGGTTTGGCCGGGTTCGGGCAGCTTCGGTCGTTGGTTGGGTGCTCTCCACTGCAGTCAAGGCACCGAGCCCTCACTCCGGGAGGGCAGTGTCGTAGCTCGTGCTCGGCCGCGCAGTGCCCGCATCTCGCCTTCTCCTTGCAAGCCCAGGCGAGGTGGCCGAATGCCTGGCATCGGTAGCATCGTCTTTCTTTCAACCGGTATGGCATGAGGCTGCCTATATATTTTTGGCCTATCAGAAGCCATTTGTCCATCGTCCATTCTGCCGCCTCCTGTGTGTCAAACCAGATGGCCAATGATCCATGTTTGCCTATCGGTTTGCCCCTTGGTTTCAGCCAGGCTACCTGGCTGATCCGATGGCCACGTTGTGCCATGTTATTTTCTTCCACGATCTTGTCGATAAAGGTTCGTTCACTTTCTGGAGCCAGGAAGTCTTCGGTTGGCGTTCTGTGTGCCACAACCGCAAATCGTGGTCGAGCGAGTTTGGTGTCGTTGCCAAGTTCTTCGAGCCAATTTGTGTTGGATCTTGCTATTTCCGCTTGGGACTTGTTTTCGAACCGTATCACGTACCCGGTTCTGGTGGTCACCACGCCCAGAACCTGTATGTCCTTTGTCTCGTTTGTGGTGGCGAGTGCGTTCTGGATGTGTGCGACTGCTGTTCTGGGTGGTAGGTACCTCCTGAATGTATTTTCGCCTCCATCCTCCCCGTTCTTGCCGTTCGGTTTCGTGTTGACTCGGATGCAGTTGTCTTCCTTGTTCTGTTTTCCTTTGTTAAGCAAGGGGTAAATGGTGGCCGGCTGCGCCTGGTCTCCGCCTGCCGCAACCTGGGCCCATGACGGGCCGTCGCTTGTTGTATTTACGGTAGTGATTGCGCTGCGTAGGGACTGAAGCTCCTGCAGGATGTCTTCGTGGCTAGTTTGAGAGCAGGGTTCGAAGCCCCCCTGCGGCGGTGAGGCTATCGTATTTTTGAGGTCTTTGAGATCCCGTTGCACTTCTGCCAGGGCCGCTCTAGGTTCGGCCTTTATTCTCTGTAGTTCCTTTTGGTGCACTTCGTCTCTTTTCTTGATCTCTTCCCTGAGTCTAATGAGTTCTGTGAGGAGCTTTACTGGTTCCAAGTCCTCGTTGTCGGTCAGGGTGGTGTCTTCTGGGGCTGGTGCCTCTCGCCCTGCTGACGCATCGCTTTGGCTCCTCTGCCTGCCTCGAGGGTTTGATTTTCGCTGGTTGCGTGCATTGTTCGCTTCGCTTTCTTCTTCTTGCTCACGAGCATAGCTGTTTGGCGGCCTGATGGTGCGTTTTGTGGTGATTTTTCGTTTTCCGTTCGGTCGGGCGGTTCAGGGGTTCGTGTTTCGGCCCGACCCGGAAGGGGGCCCGCCCGAAGGCATCGCAACGAACGACGAGAAGTCAGAGATCACCTCTTTCGCTATATCGCAGCTCTATTCGAAAAGATCTTCCAGGTCCCCTCGCCCACACCTAGCAGTCCCTTACTAGTTCCAGTAGACGGTAGGCCTCGCCAAAACCCGCCCATGACCCAACCCGCCCCAAACCCGCGTTTGGCGAGGTTTACCTAGTAGGTAAAGGCTGCACATCAGCGTCACGTGACCATCTCTACACTTTGTCTACTCCATTGCTCGCTCCCAGCTACGTAGCCTTAGATAGTGATAATTCAGCCCGTATGCCATTAGTATAATACCAAAGCTTCTTGGCAGCGTTGATTAATACTGTAAACGAAGCAATTTGCTTTCTTATCTTACAGTAGTCGTCGTATAAAACAGGAATTTACGAGCTTCGACATCCATACAACAGGACATCCGAGTAGCGACAACACTAACCCTTCTTGACCCTCCTTTTCCAAGATATACTGAATTCCGTAAAACATAAATTAACAAAGAAAAGGACAGTTGCGCTTGCCATATTCGCTCAATGATCCTCCCGAAAGTGGAACATTAATTACCCAAACAGTCAGCTCATCATGCTCCCGCACAACTAGCCGTACAAAGAGCGCGGTCTGGCTGAGGGAGAGAGGTGACGCCAGCATCAGAAGTTCGGATCGTATGGAATTTACCTCTCTTATTCCAAAAAAATGAATGGCCAAAATACACCGGGCTGACCAAATTCATACGCAGCTCTGTACCCTTGGACGGTTTTATCGAGCAAGTTTTTTTCGAGTTGCAGTGTTATTTCCGTTCCATCGAGAATATTCTGTAGATTTTGACATGCCTTGTTAAATAATATATCAGTCGCACCCCTCTGCGGTAAGTTGATCATTCTGCCTGGATGGGTAATATTGCTGTGAAGAGAGATATATTGCAGATTCGGCAGTTGGCCGTTTAGCACGCATTCCGCTATATGGGCCAATAATTGCGCTATTGGTGATCGGCATTCCCTTATCGCAAGGTGTTTCAAGGAGGATGGAAATTCAGGTGTAGTGCTAAGATACACTTGATCGAGTATTAGGTACTCTAAGACAACGAACTGTTTAAGGGAGCCGCCGAATTGGGAATCTCTGAAAATTGGGGGATTGGCGAACGGGTCGCCAAATGACAGTTGGAGAACCCGTAAGCTATCCCGTCGGCAAAAGAGCAGTGAGTATAGTCGTTGAGGACTTAATTGATGATTATGAGAACCGCACTGCCCACAGTAAAAGGCGGTCAGATTTTTGCATAACCCGACCAGCGCATCAATATCCGTTTCCTCGATGGAACTGCCACAGAGCGAAAGACTTGAGGCAGAAACGGAGCTGAGAGGAGTAACATCTGCATCGTCTGTTTTGGGTGAAGCTTGCCCACCAGAACAGTATTCGCTGATCTGTATCTCTCTCAGAGGCAGCAGAGAAAGGAGCCGGGCAATATTATTCATATTCATTCTATCGTTGTAGCGGCCTTTCCGGCAGCGCAGGTGCAATCTTTCGAGGCTGTTTCGGCAAGGTAACGATGTATGCGCATTCATTCTACCTTGGGCTAAGCCAATCAAGAGGGATAGGCCTTGGGGGTCAAGAGTGATAACCAAAGACCTCAGATTCTGAGTGCGTGAGATTATCAACATAGAAAAGATGACGGAGTCTCCGATTTCTGTACCAAAACGAGATGCATCTATGTCACTCAAATTGATATTCTGGGCTTCCTTTTCGAGGAGGTGAATATCTGCTACTGGCAGTTTATCTTGGTTGACAGCATTGGAATTATTTTCCCCCTCAGCCAGTAGAAAGCCTGGATTGTCGGTATCAATATCAAGTTGTTGGACATGCGCTGCTATGTGAGGGCAAGTAGTAACGGTGCGGCAGAGAAGGAGGATTGATAATAGTACATCTTCAGGGCCTAGGATAATCTCGTGGTAAAGAAGCGGCTGGGCGATGGCGCAGAATTTCTTTGATACCAAGCAAATATCTTTCAAAGCTGCAGTAGTCTCCAAATAGTCCAGGATTATCAAAATAATCTCTGGCGGTAGGTCGCTGAGTTCCATCTTCGAGACTCGTCGAAGAATCATCGAAAGTCGGGGCGAGAGCTGACGTCCTTCTCACTGCTACACGAGATGTACCCCGCAACGTGGACCTTCCAGTCGACTAACGGAACGAGGCAGTTGTCGGAGCTGCCGTAGATCAGTAATCCGGGAGCCCACACCGCCTGCGTGAGAAACTAGAATGGCTTGTTCATCCCGCCCTCGAAGCCTAACCCTGGTTCGCTCACATACGACGATGTAATGATTGAAAAATAGAAGGAGTAGCAATAATTGACAGAAGGGAGTATCATATCGAGTTAAGAGGATAGGGTGGCTGCGTACTGTCCACTGATTGCCTTAGTCCCACGAAGGAAATGAGACAAATCCAAATCCACAAGTAGGTCACCCAATAGGAGAACAATCAACCACTTGCCACATACGATAGTCATCTAGGCCGCCCCATCAAATACTGACACTAGCTAGAAGCTTCGTACAAATCCCCAACGAGCCAGACGCATTATATTTAGCATGGAATTCTGACTACTTGTGAAACGATCAAGCATCTAAGTATTCTATAACTAGGATGAGTCGTGTGATCAAAGCAATAGGAACCTTCGGAAAGGAGAAACCAAATAGTAAGTTCGCTTACACCTCTGATGGCTGATTAGGAGGGACTTCCAAGACCTGTTCGCCAAATTCTATAACCGTCGACTAGGGAAGGCTTGATTGCGTAAGAATGCTATATAGGCCTGTCATAAGCAGTATGCCGGTTGCCTCAATTTCTTTCAGAGCACTTACAGAGATGCCTTCCAGCAGCCATAGTGGGTCCATGCTGGAGCTTGTTAAGCTGTATGCTCGATGATATAGCGGAGCTTTTACCCCCGCGGATCACTTGAGGGGCTGTCGCTGTGATTTTTTTTGCTAGGCATGGGGTCAAGTTGAATTTCATCTTCGCCATTTGACTCTTGGTATACAGGCTCATGGCCGTGCTGTAACTCTTGAGCTGGAGGGGGTCCATTAGAAAGGATATTTGTTCTTTTATTTTGTCGGAAAAGGGGATCTGCCTGGTTAGGTGAGCCCAGTAACGACTCCAGACGGTATTGATAATATGGATCGTGTGGGAAAATAACTGCAAGTCGGAGTTTGTGCATGTGTGTGCTCAAAACAGATAATTTTGTGGGTACAAGAAAAGGATTTGCAGAAGATGTGAAGGACGCAAAAGACGCTGCTCTTTGCACATGTCCATACAGGGAAAGGAAGTTGGAAGGTGCTTATGACGTCATGTTTCCCAAGCACGTTTGGTTAAGTAAATTACGGTCGGGTCCGCCACACGGGCGGGTTGGCCACCCTGTATTTTGTTACGGCCCACTACTAGTCAATCTACTAGGAAGGCGGACACGCCAAGCAGAAAGCACCGATAACGACGACGAGGAACCAATGGACAACTCATAAGTCCGGTAAAGCCTTGGTTTGCTGGAAGGAATGTCGATATGGCATACCAACAAGGTGTTACAGACCCCTGCTAGTTGAATCCACTAGTGAGGCGGACGCACCTGGCAGAATGCGCCGATAACCGTTGCGACGGATCAAATGGCAATCTTTATCCAGTAGAAAGTATGAAAAAAGTATACGTGGTGACACCACTTTTACAGAACGAACCGTACCTTTAGAAATTCAAGAGCGAGCGAACACCATCCACGCGGCGAAGCAGACGTACCTTCTACACTAAGTACAACGTATACGATCTAAACATATTAAAACCCACCATGTCTATTCAGGCGGTGGTCTCGAGCTGGTTTAGGCGACCGGAACGATCGTCCACAATCGGTGCATCAGCTATGTCTAGCGGCATTGCTGCCGAAGGCTAGTTCTGCTGTCGAAAGTCCTCGTGCAGAGCCCGCACTAGTAATGATTGAGTGTTTGACGCACAAATGGAAGAGGAACAGAGCGAGAGATACTGACTAATGATCCGATTGTCACTAACTAGTCAGGTGACATTCTGGGCAAAGGCGCCCTACCATGGTCTCTTCTCTAGTTCGACGACTCTTTCTATTAAAGCAGTGGATACCTCGTACACAAACTCTGAATGATCTTTTCGGACTTCATCAGATTGACGTGATTCCTTGAGCGTACCGGAATGTCGAAGGGCGAATCTCATAAGGATTTCACGTAGGTCTGATCTTGGCGGACTCTGGGACCACAGACATCGCTGACAACTGCGAGAGATCCGCAGTCGTCCCAGTCATTTCTCAGGTTGGTGTCCAACTCCCTTTTGGATATATCTTTCAATCCTCCAATCAAGTATTTCTCTGCCACAATGTGGATTTGCACGTTAATGTGCGCACGCCTCCACTGCCATGAAAGAACATCTTGGGCGATACGCTCCGTTGGTGATATTCCCTCTTGGGTCACAGAATCATCCTCCGCAGCAGTATCACTTTTCACAGCGAGATCTTCCGTAATCTCCGGTGAGTCGTCATAGCTGCACGGTAAAGGAATCCAAACATTTTTGAAACGATGAAAGGGTCATCGGGAATGTATACGACGCGCGATTTAGCTTCTTATGTGGAAATTAACGATCAGTCTCTGGGTGTCACCGCTGATACATTACTCTTAGATTTACCATTTGCAGCCTTGTCGAAAGATGGCAACTGTAGGCACACAATGCAACGATGAACGTGGAAGCTTGATGATGGGCATCTGACTATGAGGTCTGAGAACTGCCTACTCTCTTGCATGCTTCGAAGTACGTGTCAGTTCATATGCAAACCAAGATCAAGGAGAAATACCGAGACAACTGCGCTTTGAGCGTATCAAAGCCCGTACGTAGTCTTGATGCATCAGGTTTTGTCGCTTGGGATTGCTTCACTCTAGAGTGACGTAGTTGGGTTTTCAGCCTCCGGCCCCTTAGCCGGATAAACATCTGAAATCCAATATTGTCGTTTGCAACAATCACATGCCTTCGTGCTGGAGTCAGTTAGCGTGGACAGTCAAATTCACTCATGGCAATCATCCTAGGAAAAGGCTCTCCTTTATAGCGAACCCCTATTGCGAAAAGTACTAAAGACCTCATAGTTCATACTTGTACCCCCGGATATTGCTCTCATTTGGACGACTGTCGAGATCCTTGCCGCGGGTATATGTACCTTGGTAGTAGTAGTTTTGTCACCTAATGCACAATGGGTTTAAAAATAAACAGATGTACTAAATGACATGGCGGAACTCGACAGAATTATATTTTACCTTCATAGCGGCATAGCATGACAATGACCAAGCAAACGACCGCTGACCCGGCTCGTTATATCAACATCCAGCAGTCGTTTATAGGATTACCGCCACAAGGTCTCCGAACCAGCAGCATTCCACTATAAGCCACCTCAACTTACGAGTGAAAAAAATAAAGAGATAGAGAGAGAGGGGGGAGAGACTAAGAAACGAAAACAACAAAAGAGACTGCACCGAAAGGCAAAGCCAGTCAAGGTTCCGCTTCCAAAAGATACTCTGCAACCTTATCGCTGCTATCACGAAGTATCCCCACAATAACTGAGACAGCCATGGGATAATCCCTTCAAGCTAACACACAGGTGTTAGGGATCCCTCAGCACTCCGCCAAATCCCACCTAATTCTTCCCACTAGGAGGAGTATAAGTCGAGCCACCATTGCCGTTATTGTAATAAGTGCTCCCATCGGGGTTGGAATAATAGTAGGATCCGTTACTGGAGGAAGAAATTTATTAGAACTGATTTGGCAAACTCCAGGTCCGAGTAGAGGAATAATAATGAGGGGGAGGAATGGAATGGGACGACATGACTGACCTGTTTGAGTAGTGGTAGGTGTTTGAGTTAGAGCTGCCAGAGTAGTCACGGGAGCACCAATGGTTTCCCTTTTGGACATCAGACCTTTAGCTAAGGTTTTGGATCTACAATATAGGGTGGTACTTACCTGACTGTTAGTGCCGGAGCCCTTGTAGCTGAAGTCTTTCCCAGACCTGGGCATGGTTACGATTTGATCACTGATGAAATATCGAAGGACTTGATTGATGCAGTGAGTATTTAGAAGCTAGATGATGCGGGCTGCTGGTGGAGGAGGAGGAGGAGGAGGAGGAGGAGGAGGAGGAGGAGGAGGAGGAAGAGTGAAAGATAGGGTCAGGCGATTCAATGTGAGGGGTAAGGCAGCAACGTACCCTTGGTCCCGGTTGGTTCCTTTGATCATGCAGGTGAACTTGTGACACTTTGTTCAACGTACTTATGCACTTGAGTGGATTCATAATACTATAATCGTCTTACTACATATCAGTTATCGACATATGGTTCTCTTGATACGGATGAGTGGAAAGGTTGCTCTATGGACCTACGCTATCAGAGGGACAAATCGCAACTCAAAATCTCGCCACATTGCCTTTTCTCAAGATGGAAAACAGTGTGAGATGTACTTACAAGGTTTAGACCAATCAAAGAAAGCAAACAGCAATGCCCAAATTAATAGGACTCGTGACATGTACTGTCCCTTGGACTTCAATACTGTAACCGGTATATCAAAACCGCTGCAATAATATGAACAAAGCCAGTAGCTGATCTTGGCATAATGTTGAGTATAAAGAGCTCTGCCAACGTAACTTGTTCAAATTTTGTACAACAGAAATATTAAACTCGTAGCGCTCAGTCAAAAAGACACACTGTTCTTGCGGAAAGGAGCTCTTGCCAGCGCATCTGCTTGGATACCCCAAATATGCTTGCCTAGAACGGCTTATCTGGGGCCAAAGTTCTTCAAAACGAGATCAATGTCCGGAACATTGTGTTGAAGCGCTTGACTATACATATCGTCCGTCCCGAACGTTGCAATTTCCCACATTCTCTTCCACCCTTGGGTTGTCACGGCTGCATCCGGACAATCATTCCGGATATTGGTTGCAAGCATATAGAACGAAGATCGTTTGGCATGGAACCTGGTATGGTTGTACAGTTGCACTGAGGCAAAAGTTGTGAATGTATACAGTAATTGTACGGTATGTGGAGATTCGACTTTGTGAAGAAGAACGATCATGGTTCCCCCCAGCTTGACATGCTCCAATCCAAGCGCCAGCTGTGTCAGGGCCAGCCTGCTGGCTTCTCGATGTTCACGGTAGGTGGCTTTGTCGTGGTCTCAAAGCACCTGACCATCACATATGACTAGGTCAAATGCCTGTCCAGGCTCGAATTGACGGCGTAAGAATTTTCCTGCATCTGGATGATCGTTCGGGATATCCAACCGGCCCATATCCGCAGCCAACAGGGTGATGTCAATGAACTTCACCGAAATAGTAGGATGTTTAGGTAGAAGGACATTGTGACCTCCTTCACTCCTTGTTAAGCTGAATCCTATAGCTCGGGCTTTGGGGTTAACCCGCAATGCTGTTCCAAGAAAGCCTCCCGGTGCCATGCACATGTCAAGGATACGTTGTTTGTCCAGATAAGGGCTATTGACTCGGAAAACATCTGTAAGTTGTTGCATGTCATGTCCTATTTCTTTCATCATTCTGAAGAAATGATTGGCTGTTTTCTTATCAGCATTATCTGCTGTTTGACGCTGCTGTTCGAAGAACCGGTCACCCGCCGGATTTTCCCAACCCTATCTTACTCTTCAACTCAAGGTCCTTGAAATAGCCGGCTTAACCTGACCTTATGCCGAAGCTCGGATAGTCGCTGAGACTCCGGCACCTCATTTAGCAGGTATGGAGCGTATGACTAATGAGAAGGACACAGGGCGGAACGAAGAAGGGCGCGATAGCCAATATCGCAGGCCGAGGTGCTATCCAGATGTTATCTGCCGGCGGGAACCAGCAGATACACACTATTGATAGGCAGCCATACCTGATAATGACTCCGAAGTGTTTGCGGAATATTATATAGTACATGGACTAGTGCAGTACAAGAGTGAATGTACAAGGCGACGACGTATTGGAATAGAATGTCCAGTAACTAACCTGGCAAAGAAAGATTATCCACTCTTCTGATGAAATCTTTACATTGGCCCAGTGTTTGTTGTCTTGTTCCTATATGTTGAGTGGCCTCTAGGCCCCTCTGGTGGTTTTGATAAGCGAGTCCAGGTGTTATGTGGCCTGAATCTGGCGACGTGAAGTGGATCATTATGAGATTTTGTAAATACAGCTGTGAGACGAAGAAATATGTTCCTCCGACATAACATGACAATCTTGTCAGACAAGTATAGCGACGTAACTATTCGCTTCCATTTTTAAGATGATCATACATTGCACGTATACGAAAGCGAGAGCGCGACAATGATTTTCAGATGCAAAGGACAGATAAAGCTCCGAAACGCTAACAAATTCAGGATATCCCGCTTACTGGATTCCACGTCCGGCACCACCGCCCATCATGTTCCGGGCCCTAGAAGATACGTGTCAGCTGCAACGCAATGGACCAGGTATGTCATGTCACTTACATTTCAGCAATGTTTGGATCGCTCATCAAAGAGGACATGTCGGGCATACCACCGCCACGGCCATAGTTCTCAGCCATCTGTCTCAGCTGGGGGTTGCTCATGATAGAGCTGAGATCAGGCATACCGCCACCACCACGGGAAGCACCAGCAGCATCGTCAACGGCATCAGCGGGAGGCTCGGTGCTACGCTTGGCCTCCTCGATCTTGCGCTTAGTAGTCTCCAGACCCCGCTTCATGGCCTCGCTGCCACCGTTGCCCTCGGCCTCGATACCCTTCTCATAGGCCTCCTTGGCACCGTGGTAATCAGCCAAATCGAAACGAGCCAGTCCCAGACGGCTCCAGGCCTTGGAGTACTTGGGGTCAACAGCAGTGGCGAGCTCGGCATCCTCGGCCGCCTTCTCGTGCTGTCCGGCCGCGGAATAGGCAGCAGCCCGGTTGGAGAGGTAGATGGGGTTCGAGGGAGCAATAGCCAGGGCTTGGGTGTAGAGGTCGATAGCGGTGCTGTAGTCCTTGCGGGCCATGGCACCGTTACCCTCGGACTTCAGCTTATCGGACTCAGGGGTGGGAGCGCCAGCTGCAGGCTTCTGGCTTTCCATGTAACCATACAAGCAGTATTGATGGGGCTTAGTACTAAAAACAGTAGAGACTAAGAGACGATCTCAAAGTGCGTTGTCGGCCAGCCTTTTGACAAAATGGTTAGAAAAAGGGCAACAAATGTGTCAGACGGCTTTCTTCACTCCTCAACATCTATAAAACCTCATTTTCTTTTCCTGGTGTCCTCAGAAGTTCGTTCTTCCGTCTTGGACTGTGACCGCCCGAGTCAGACCCAGCTACCCCGCAATAACGATCGAGCAAAATGGACAACATAATTCAAAACTTGTTTCTAAAATAAAAGTCATACTCGTCAATACCAGAGAACAGCGAGTGTCTGCTAGCATGTTAGAAATTTAATGTGGAAGTTGGCAGGTATAGCTGATTGCAAACCCGTCTAGATGTAGCAACGCAGAACGGTAGCAGTGGCGTAGTCTGCTGAAGAGGTGAATTTATAATATCTGGACTTTTATGGTTCTTGGAATGTACTGATTTATTTCAAAATAATACTTTTAATAGGCATTACATGGTGGCTCGTCCGACCGGTTACATTCCCGTTGGGGAATAGCGGCCCGCCGCGGTGTGCTGCCCTCCACATAAAGATCATCAATCCCAAGAAAAATGATTCGGTCATGAGCATAGCTTTCACCGCGAAGGGCAAGACAAAATCAAGGAATTACCTACATGAATAAGCCGGTAATATAAATTACCTGTTTTATATTTGGAAAATGATAATGATAAATCTTGACAGAAAAAGTAACTTAGAGATATTAATAAGAATAGCAAAAAATTTTTTTAAATAGTTCTGATATCTAGACATAGAGCTGAAGTCTTGTTGTTGATGAGATATATAATAGTATTAAAAAAGTAGCTTTCAAAATAGCACTACAAGATGGGCCGCGCGATGGTGAATTACTGTGATAGAACAAGTCGGTCGGGAGACCGGTGCTATTGGGATGACATAGCATACCGCTTCTCAGAGTCGTGAGGTCATCGACAGTGGTCCGATAGACCTACGCTACGTATAAGCCAGCGATTCCTACCGTTAGACTGCTGATCCCTCAAGGATCAGTCTATTCTGTGGATATAGGCTACCATTTGTCTTTGATAGAAAAATCTACCGTGCTTCGTGGTTATTCTCCTTTATTTAGTCGACAGGTCTTCTACCCTGACAAGTAGATCCTATCACAATTATTTATGGTGTTTATAAAGTATTTCTACCTAGAATTTTATAATTAGAGATAATTTTACATATGATGGAGCATCCGTATACCAAGCCTATATTGTATGCGAATTACTTCAAGATATAGAAGTAGAAGTTATAATTTGGCTATTATACTTACCCGATTTGAATCTTATTAAGAATCTATAGGCGTTAATAAAAGCTAAGATATATGAATTGTATCCAGAGCTGGAACGGGCTTCGAATACTGAAGATACTTGACAGAGACTTATACAAGCAGCTTTTGAAGTCTGGCATGCAATTGAGCTTTGGAATCTATGTCAAACTATGTCTTATCGCGTACAGGCAGTCATCCAAGCGGATGGTTGGTATACAGCTTATTAAGTTCTATATAGCTTAGTTAGGAAGGCGGAACGGTTAGCGCGGAATGAGGGATAACGCAAACTTCTGACATCCCACTGTACCCATCGGTTACCCGGAATCTCGCCAAGAACCCGAAACATCAAATATTACGGAAATGCAGTTGAAATATAGGATCCTTAATAAGGAACTTGTATGGATACTGTCATTTATTCCTTTTGGCGGTTCTGGTGGGCCCCACTTATATCAGAGGTCGAGCCGTCTGGCTTTGACCTCCCGAAATAGCATGTCTCGGCTCTCCTCAACATCATGACAAATACTCTCTACGGGCTTAGATCCTGTTTGCTTCGTTGATTATCGCTGTACCTTACTAATCTAGGTATCCAATACGACGGGAAGATGCGTGACTTGTGATATCTTGTGCATTAGGAGGTTTTGATGCCATTCTTAGTGGAGAAGAGAAGGGGCCACTTCCTCACATATTATTGGTATCACCTAGCGGCGGCGATAGGCCGGCAAATGTGCATTCCATATTGTCATCACAGCCTACGTACTCAGAGGTTGTTTCACTCTATATTCCCAGCAACGCTGTATTAATGTCAAGTACGCCACGAATCAAATCTCTGAAGAAATGGTGGAACAGGACAAATGGGGATGGGAAGAGGTATAACGTCGATGTGAGCATACATGTATTAGTACCTTCCAGCGCGCGCTGATCCAAATTAGCTTGTGCTTTTAGGGTCAAATTATTGTTCGAGCATATAACTATCCCTCTGGCATTACTGCGCGCAAGCTTCCCTTTCGGAAATGACACCCATCTGATGAAGATGTCAGTTGGATCTTGCCACTGAATTTTCCCGAAGCTCGCGAATTGCCGAAGCTCGCGAATTGGCAAAGTACGCTAAAGAGACAATGTAAGACAATGAAGATGCAGAAAAGCGTCGTTATCCCCGTGGCGGGGAACGACGGATGCATAGTGGTTGGCTTCCAACCCCTGCACAAGCCTAATGACATTGGTGTCGGCTTGCATTAGGGGCGCTAACATTTCACAGTGATAGGTATGAAGATCAGCCTCTGAGGCTCGACCGGAGTTTAATGGCAGGAAGTAGATAAGAAAGGGGGAGGGGTGTTCCTTTATCTGCCTATCAATCCATGATATTGTATGTATGATGAAGCAACTTCTAATAGACAGATTCTCTGAACCCACTGACACCTATACGGAATGAAATCACGTAGTGTACATTTATCGATCGAGCGCATTGTCCTGACACTGGAATTTAGTCAGTAAACCGCAATGACATAGAGAATCAAGTCCATACTCACCGTCTGCCAACACATCTCGTTATCCCGTAGCAGTTCCTGATGACTTCCCAGCTCCACGGCCTGAACCCATATCTGCTCTGGCTTACACCAAAGACACATGCCATCTCCGCTTTCGGTACAGTAGCCAGTATATGCGTAACTGCCACAATCGTCATACATCTCTTCGCTGCCAA